TATGTATCTGCAGAATGATTATTTGTAGAATAATAAGTCACCACGCCTGTCTATATATGTATCTGTAGAATGATAAGTCACCACGCCTGTGTACATATGTATCTGTAGAATAATAAGTCACCACGCCTGTGTACATATGTATCTGTAGAATAATAAGTCACCACGCCTGTCTACATATGTATCTGTAGAATAATAATAAGTCACCACGCCTGTGTACATATGTATCTGTAGAATAATAAGTCACCACGCCTGTGTACATATGTATCTGTAGAATAATAAGTCACCACGCCTGTGTACATATGTATCTGTAGAATAATAAGTCACCACGCCTGTATACATATGTATCTGTAGAATAATAAGTCACCACGCCTGTGTACATATGTATCTGTAGAATAATAAGTCACCACGCCTGTCTACATATGTATCTGTAGAATAATAAGTCACCACGCCTGTCTACATATGTATCTTTAGAATAATAAGTCACCACGCCTGTCTACATATGTATCTGTAGAATAATAAGTCACCACGCCTGTGTACATATGTATCTGTAGAATAATAAGTCACCACGCCTGTCTACATATGTATCTGTAGAATAATAAGTCACCACGCCTGTGTACATATGTATCTGTAGAATAATAAGTCACCACGCCTGTCTACATACGTATCTGTAGAATAATAAGTCACCACGTCATAATGTATCTGTAGAATAATAAGTCACCACGCCTGTGTACATATGTATCTGTAGAATAATAAGTCACCACGCCCACATATGTATCCTGTCACCATACATATGTATCTGTAGAATAATAAGTCACATACATATGTATCTGTAGAATAATAAGTCACCACGCCTGTGTACATATGTATCTGTAGAATAATAAGTCACCACGCCTGTGTACATATGTATCTGTAGAATAATAAGTCACCACGCCTGTGTGTCTGTAGAATAATAAGTCACCACGCCTGTGTACATATGTATCTGTAGAATAATAAGTCACCACGCCTGTGTACATATGTATCTGTAGAATAATAAGTCACCACGCCTGTGTACATATGTATAATGTATCTGTAGTCACCACGCCTGTGTACATATGTATCTGTAGAATAATAAGTCACCACGCCTGTGTACATATGTATCTGTAGAATAATAAGTCACCACGCCTGTGTACATATGTATCTGTAGAATAATAAGTCACCACGCCTGTGTACATATGTATCTGTAGAATAATAAGTCACCACGCCTGTGTACATATGTATCTGTAGAATAATAAGTCACCACGCCTGTTTACATATGTATCTGTAGAATAATAAGTCACCACGCCTGTGTACATATGTATCTATGTATCTGTAGAATAATAAGTCACCACGCCTGTGTACATATGTATCTGTAGAATAATAAGTCACCACGACTCAATACAGAGTTAAGAATAGATTAATAAGTCACCACGCCTGTGTACATATGTATAATAAGTCACATATGTATCTGTAGTAAGTCACCACGCCTGTGTACATATGTATCTGTAGAATAATAAGTCACCACGCCTGTGTACATATGTATCTGTAGAATAATAAGTCACCACGCCTGTGTACATATGTATCTGTAGAATAATAAGTCACCACGCCTGTGTACATATGTATCTGTAGAATAATAAGTCACCACGCCTGTGTACATATGTATCTGTAGAATAATAAGTCACCACGCCTGTGTACATATGTATCTGTAGAATAATAAGTCACCACGCCTGTGTACATATGTATCTGTAGAATAATAAGTCACCACGCCTGTGTACATATGTATCTGTAGAATAATAAGTCACCACGCCTGTGTACATATGTATCTGTAGAATAATAAGTCACCACGCCTGTGTACATATGTATCTGTAGAATAATAAGTCACCACGCCTGTGTACATATGTATCTGTAGAATAATAAGTCACCACGCCTGTGTACATATGTATCTGTAGAATAATAAGTCACCACGCCTGTGTACATATGTATCTGTAGAATAATAAGTCACCACGCCTGTGTACATATGTATCTGTAGAATAATAAGTCACCACGCCTGTGTACATATGTATCTGTAGAATAATAAGTCACCACGCCTGTGTACATATGTATCTGTAGAACACTCAGTCACCACGGCTTTGGTCTTATTTATGTGTTGTATAATTAGTCACCACGCCTGTGTACATATGTATCTGTAGAATAATAAGTCACCACGCCTGTGTACATATGTATCTGTAGAATAATAAGTCACCACGCCTGTGTACATATGTATCTGTAGAATAATAAGTCACCACGCCTGTGTACATATGTATCTGTAGAATAATAAGTCACCACGCCTGTGTACATATGTCTCTGTAGAATAATAAGTCACCACGCCTGTGTACATATGTATCTGTAGAATAATAAGTCACCACGCCTGTGTACATATGTATCTGTAGAATAATAAGTCACCACGCCTGTGTACATATGTATCTTTAGAATAATAAGTCACCACGCCTGTCTACATATGTATCTGTAGAATAATAAGTCACCACGCCTGTGTACATATGTATCTGTAGAATAATAAGTCACCACGCCTGTCTACATATGTATCTGTAGAATAATAAGTCACCACGCCTGTCTACATATGTATCTTTAGAATAATAAGTCACCACGCCTGTCTACATATGTATCTACATATGTAGAATAATGTCACCACGCCTGTGTAAGTCACCACGCCTGTCTACATATGTATCTTTAGAATAATAAGTCACCACGCCTGTCTACATATGTATCTTTAGAATAATAAGTCACCACGCCTGTCTACATATGTATCTTTAGAATAATAAGTCACCACGCCTGTCTACATATGTATCTGTAGAATAATAAGTCACCACGCCTGTCTACATATGTATCTGTAGAATAATAAGTCACCACGCCTGTCTACATATGTATCTGTAGAATAATAAGTCACCACGCCTGTGTACATATGTATCTTTAGAATAATAAGTCACCACGCCTGTCTGTATATGTATCTTTAGAATAATAAGTCACCACGCCTGTGTACATATGTATCTGTAGAATAATAAGTCACCACCGCTGTCATATATGTATATCTACAACACGACTGTCTACATAGGTATTCATCGGAATCCAAACTACCAACTATGTAAGAGTAGAGCATTAAAACATCATGACTGTTTATATTTGTATCTTAATAACACCAATTCAGTACGACTGTTTATATTTGTATATATAGAGCTTCATGTCACACATTACAAACATACTCAGAAGATATGACTATTAACAGTGTCAGTTTGCTTACTAACTTGTATTATTGTATAAATAGACATCAATAGAAAATGAAGTAAACATATTACTTCCTTTCAGTTTATATCCTAGGTGACGGTTTCCAGATCTGTTCACCTCTAAATGTCTAGTTTACTATTTAATTTTCTGTATCTGCTTTTTTGTTATCAGGATTTGGTTTCTCTACATGTATAACTGAATCCTATACATACAATACATTGAATGATAGAGGACTATTACATATAGCGTGAGGTCGTCGAATTTTATGTTTATTGCAAAATAGGGAAAATACATATACAAATACAGCCGCCATAAAGTTTTATTTAGTTCTGAGTTTAGAAATGACTAAATGGTCTCCAACCTGTTGTCTTTATGTCTCCAAGTTCCCTAAGTAAGGACAATTTCTAGTCTTTCAACTTTGATAGGGATGTTTGTACGAAGAGATTGTTATAACATGGCTGGCTGAGTATATTTCCCGATTTACATGCGTCTTTAATGAAAGTCATTCAGAAATTCTAAATACTTGTTTACATTGTCTTGATTTTTTCTATGTAAAGGAAAATGACGCTATATCTTTCCATGACTTGACCAGTGACATAAAGCAGTGTTTAATTGCTGCTCCTGTATATTAAACGTGTACCCGGTGACAAAGAAGCAACACAGTCAACATTTTTCAATCCTATGTTTGAGCAAAAGATATCTAAGAATTTCAAAACAAACAAATATTTCCCTTGTATTCAATATACATTATTTTGCAATAAATAATAAAAAGCTAAACCGTATGTTCTTCAGTTAATACAAATCTGTTCAACAATTTCAAAACAAAAACATCATGCTTCCAAATGGAAAAAGTATTTTAAACTGTTCATGAAATTTTGGTATTTCTGGATAAAATATTGATATGACAATATCTAGGTTAATATTCTTTCGAAATTGTGCAACAAAGTTCCTTTTAAATTAGACAAATGTTTCGTTATAATTTCTGTGCAAATTAAACATAAATCAAAATATCAGTATAAACGTTATATATCCAAAATTTGTTTTCTTCAAAATCATCAAAATGAGGATTTCGTTTGGTCTTAATCATGAACATTTGTCCATTCAAGTGAAAGGCTTTCCATGTTTCATAAAATTTTCTATTCATAAAGAAATTAACAGAACAATGTCCATGGTATAGCCTGAATTGTCACTATATACTAATTGTTTCACACATTTCCCCAAGGTATTGCTGAACATTCGAAATAAACTCCATATACATAAAAGTATTTCTAATATTGTAGAGACATTTATGTTATGCTTTGTTCTATCAATTCTATTTAGCTTGTAAGAAATTACTTAATTACGTTCAAGAACACCTGAAAATGGATATGGCTATCCCAAGATGAACACTTGAACATTAACAGTATCACACTGCCCTTTACTATAACGGATATGTTGAAATTAATTCTTATTTATCATTAATAAGCAATTATTTACCATTAGGAATTCATTACACGACATATATCTAGCATGACCAATACAACTCCAGATCAAATATAAACCTAATGTACTTTATAAGTCAATAGATTTCTATTTCCGAAATAGTCCATGGACTAATATTTTCACTTTTTCCATTTTTTTCTTTTGTCCTTTTGTCTAATCAATATCATCTAAATTTATCAATATACTTACATCTATCGGTAACATGTATACGCAATAATACTTACTCTTTGAGCCATCACATTTCGGTTCCTTATCGGTGAAGACGCACGTCTTGTGGAAACAATCATGTGCTTCATGATTCGGACAGCCCCTCGCATACCACTGTAATCGATACAGGAATATATATAAGTACCTGCTAATCGCACCTCAAGTTCAAGTCTACTCCTTGTTTGTTTTTTGGCCTTCTACTTTGTATAAAGTTGTTTTGGAAAATCAACACTGTCATCCGTGAACGTCATATGATTTTTTTTAAAGTTTAGTTCTTAAAAATCACAAATTTCTCCGTCTTGAAATAATGAAATGTCGATATTTAAGACAAGGTTAACAAATGGTCCACTTTTTTCGTGAATTGAATAATTCAATTTATATTTCCTGTGTTTCCTTTCACACTTCCGCAAAACAGAAATGGTTGATTTTTACTTGTGATTGATGCACTTGTTTGCCACCACGGGTGATTGTCGTTATTCGGCTGTGTGTCTGTGGACGATGCCTTTCACACGCCAGATAAAGCCGACAGACGAATGAAGGCGATGTCAGCTTCACCATGTACACCAATGTCCCCGTCGATCGATAATCACTACTTCTATCCAGTCTTAAGTATAAAGTGTTCAGACTCGTGATTAAGAACGAGCGCACGCTGACATGCCTGTCCCTTACATCCCTATATCTATATATATTGTCTTGTATGTTCGCAGCCATTGAATTCCCCTAAAAACCTAACGAAGGAAGAAAATGCATTGCAGAGCAAAACTAAACTATTCCTATAATTCACATCTTGTGAATGATCGGTATCGGATGTTGTAACTAAACGACACCTTTCTATAATTAGACATAGCATGACCGCAGTTTATTTTTACTTCAGATAATTCAAGTCTATGGGATTATTATACCCCATCGGATACCAGAACGACTTCCAGACCTATGTTTCACCTTGTTTCATCACTGACGTGTCCTTAAAGGACGAAACAACTGTGTGGTGCAATTTAATTCATTGTTTGGCTCTACTGCATCTTGTCTAAATTTTAGTGAAAGGTGCTATTTACATGTGTGTCTTTTGTACGTTCTTGATGTCCTCTTTAACGTGATATGTCTTTGAGCATATTATCACCTGAACACGTGAAAATGACACTTGTGTCGGTCACATTGAGATCATGTGTCACGACAGTGTCGAGGGACTAAACTCTGTGGGTGCAGGAGAGAAACTGGAGTAATTGACAATTATTCGGTGTCCTCTTGTCATCTACATCATATGCATGCATCAAGACGAAACTACTACTAAAGCTGATCTCCGGAAAGTTGTCCTGCATTATTACTCATAGGGGTACGTGGAACTAATCAGTAATGTAGCATCCCTACAGTGGCCGAAGAGTCTGAGATATGTGGGCGATGACCAACTATGTATGTATACTCATATTGATAACAAAATAAAGAGACTTGTGGGCGTTTGACTTTGTCGCTCATCCTCCATTACGGATGGGATGACAAAGATATCAAACGTATCTAGACAAAAACGTAACCGAGGTTAATCTTTAATTGTTATGCAAATAAAACTGATGCTGCATTTTCACCCGGTTGTACATTGTTTTATTTCATTAGAAAAAAACATCAAAATGTCTTCATTTCAACATTATCATGATCCAAATACAAATTTAATACAACTAGGGCTAAATATGAACAAATAAAACGTTTACACGGAGACTCCTGCAAAACGTACAAGGAGAATAGGAGAATATGTTCTGGAAGAGTAAGCGTCTTCTCCTTCATCGAAGACACTCATCATACAATTCTATCAATTCACGTAAGCTATGGAAATAGTGATATTGGCATGTTACAACCTAGAAATGAAACATATCGGAATCATCACCTAGATCAGATTGATAGAAAGCTGTCCCATCGTTTCATTGCAGGCAAAACCACAACAAGATGTCGATATAGACAAATCTGTCCCATTTTCAAGGCTGCACACAAGGTGAAATGAGCATGGTCAATAAATGCTTTGTTATTCAAAGACAAACAAACATTAATATATCTTTGAGTGAACTTGGAGGACTTTGATATTTGTGAGTTGTTTTGATAAGCACATCGAATTTATCCTCGTATGAAATCAATTAGCTAAAGAGACGGCCACAGTTCAGGATATACGTTGGTTAATTAGTGTTATTTCGTACTTTCTCTCCTAAATGACGATGTTTAACACTGCTACCTTTTGTTCGTTTGTTCTTTTGGATCCGTAAAAAAAAACCAATAACAATTTTTGTGCTACACTTCGTTTGAACCAATAAGCCACATATTTGTATCCTATGAAATGTTCAGTTAGCAGTTCAACAAGATACAAGAGCATAAGTAGCTGGAATGATTGAAAAATAAATAGGTTCTACGATATTTTGATATTAGTTTAAGACTTTTGCACATAACTGTCATTTCTCTTAAATAGATGCAGATCATTCATAAGAACATCATATAATGTAGAATATCACGTGACTTGTCATCTAAGAGCTAAAATGTTCCTCAGTATGGAGTGATTTTAAACGATCTCAACTATTTTATCAGTATCCACTGAAGCAAAAATTAGGTTATTTATAGATCAACCATTTTGACCTTTGTTGTTTCCTTCTCCGTTTCTATAATTAGTATAGACGACACCGAACGAGATACATATATGTAATGAATGAATGAAAATGTACTCTAAAGCGATCAGAGAACGATTATATATATGACACACACATGAATAGTGACTTGTAACATTAGTTTAAATTTTGATGCACTACAGCCATAACATGAATTAAACTGCTTCCCGTATCAGTTGCATCCCTTTAGGCCTCGTCAGTGATGCTATGGACCAATATTTTGAAGCCTAGCTCAATACTTATCGAAGGAAAAGTCCAACTCTGTTATCAATAAGTTATCGTGGACTTGCTGGCATTCTAGGTATGCATGTGCCTGACGTTCTTTTGAAATATCATTTAATATTGAAGATTGGAATTAATGTAGTTTTGAGGTTATTCCCCCTAGTTATCTGGTTTTTGGTCTTTATTTCGACAAATCATAATTAGACTTTCTTCCATCGATTTTTAAGTTTCAACAACTTATGCCCTTGGCATCACTGACGAGACTGTATGACGTAGCATCACTGACGAGACTGTATGACGTAGCATCACTGACGAGACTGTATGACGTAGCATCACTGACAAGTCCTAGAAGGACGAACCAGCTGTATGACGTAGCATCACTGACAAGTCCTAAGAAGAATGAAATAGCTGTATGATATAGCATCACTGACGAGTCTTAGAAGGACGATATAGCTGTATGATTTAGCATCACTGACAAGTCCTAGAAGGACGATATAGCTGTATGATGTAGCATCACTGACAAGTCCTAGAAGGACGAACCAGCTGTATCATGTAGCATCACTGGCTTGTCCTAAGAAGAATGAACCAGCTGTATGATGTAGCATTGCTGACGAGTCTTAGAAGGACGAACCAGCTGTATGATGTAGCATCGCTGACGAGTCTTAGAAGGACGAACCAGCTGTATGATGTAGCATCGCTGACGAGTCTTAAAAGGACGAACCAGCTGTATAAGGCAGTGTTTAATTCAGTGTTCTTCTCCCTCTCTACTGTATCTTACTCTCAGTTTGTATTGTAAGGCGCCATTTTCTAGTGCGTCTTTTGTACAATCTTGTTTAACCTGTAAATTTTACATAAATCCAGATAAAAAGAACAATAAGAGAATAATTAGAAAGATGAATGTGATCAATGACATACATTTCTTTATAACAAGCTTCTTACAACTCCGTATTGACATGACTTGAACACGTGACCAAAAGATCCGATATCTCTATAATAGCAAAAGTAACTGTTAGATGATTGATAAAACCAATCGTCCATCTTATTAGAAAAAATGAAAAACAAATGTTAGCAGAGAAGGTATCATTTCAGAAATTTGACAAGAGTTGATATATCATTTTATTACTTTTGTCAGTGATACATAAAGAAACATATCATCGATAAAAGTGTTATTTTTCATTAGTGACAAACAACACTTTTTTCACTCGCGTGTCTAATATTGTTAATCCTGAAGACACTATTAAATAAATAATAACTTCATTTATTTTACAACAATTGCAAAACAATATCCAATATCCTATATATATCACGTGGCGTGAAAATACAAACACGTGTCGACGTGATGTGAGTCAAGGTCAGACATCTGTTAAACGGAAGCATGTTGAAATAACACTAAGGTCTTAATACCTGATATAAGTGACATTTCCATTCAATTTACTGACAATTAAACCCTATAAACGTGAAACCTACTTTTTTATTCTGAACTCTTAATTGTTTCAGTATGCTGTTTAGCAATAAGAGTTTGAAATAATGGCATCTATTCCCACTTAAGATCGCCCCCGTTACATTTCGATTAAACAAGCCTCAAACACCTTGCTTCCGGTGGTCATTATTTATATATATAATTAATATCCAATTCGTAGTGAACATCACACGTACACAACCAAAGAAAAAAACTCACTTAAATCAAATAATACGAGTGTGTTCATTCCATATTGAATGGAATATATGTATATTTTGAAGAGCACTCAACACGTGGTTCTGTAAATGCTCATACTTAAGTGGTCTTCCTATTTTCGCACTTTTCACTAATAAATGTCCGCATTAATTGTGGATGGGCGAATTTATCATTGTGTTAATTTGCAAAACAAAACCAAAAATAAAAAAAACATTATGAGCTTAATAAATTGCATTCACTGCATTTGATTTTAACAATGTATATCATAACCATAATGTCAATGACAGTCGAATGTGGTCACGTTAGAAACATGTTTGATACCATAATGTCAATGACAGTCGAATGTGGTCACGTTAGAAACATGTTTGATACCATAATGTCAATGACAGTCGAATGTGGTCACGTTAGAAACATGTTTGATACCATAATGTCAATGACAGTCGAATGTGGTCACGTTAGAAACATGTTTGATACCATAATGTCAATGACAGTCGAATTTGATACCATAATGTCAATGACAGTCGAATGTGGTCACGTTAGAAACATATGTTTGATACCATAATGTCAATGACAG